GGCAGCATTGTCAGTGTGGATGAATGCGTTATGCTGACAAGCTGAGTCTACTCTTATACCCCTGATATTTGTCTTGATTGCTTCTATCAAGATAGCAACACTGCCATTATTCCCAATTAGTTTAATAAATGTAGCACAGGGAGATGGTCCATATACGTTCTAGGAAGATGTATTCTTCCATACGTTCCATTTTCCGAATACTGAGTCAAAAATAACTGAAAATGTGGGTGGCTAAACGAGCTGTGCCAGCTACTGTATTAATCACAGATGAATTTCAAAACTGTATCGTGTACATATTGGTGTACTCTGTGTGTAATAATCGTGGGGTACAAGTCCGAGGTGGTGTTTTAAAATGGCAATGCATCCCAAATGAACGCAGTAGAAGTCTTGTACCATCCTGATGCTTTCTGTAAATGCCACATGTATTGCTCAAAGAAAAACAGTAATGTGCACCATGGGGGAAAAAATTGAAAACCTGTGGTAGATTGTAACTTAGAAATTGCTTTCATGATCCTGCTCCTGGTCTGTACTGTTTCTCCTTGCTGTAGATTTTCACCCCAGAAATTCGCAAAGCTTTGAGAAAGGGGAAAACCAGAACAACCTAACCATATTAGAAGTTCAGGTTGTGCATTTTGAAGATTGTAGGTAGAAAAGTTTGTATTGAGTTGATGAAGATTGTATTTTGTGAAAGACAAACATTCTCATAAGAAAAGTTTTAACACAAGAGAAGCAAAAGGAAAACACATTTAGCTTGAAATGGAAGAATTTTTTATTATTTCTGGAAGAGGTTTTATGAAAATATTTTGAAATTAGATGACTTTCAGGCCTGCATGACTTAACAAGGAGATCCTGACAAAACTGAAGCATAAAATGAAAGTGCGCAAGAGGTGGAAGCAGGGTCAGGTAACCTGAGAGGAGTATGGAGACAATCTGAATATGACTGTGACCATGAACATCTTGTATCAGCAATAGTATGGCCAGCTGGACCAGGGAAGTTGTGGAGTGACCCTCCGTGAGGATATTTAAAAGTTCTGTAGATGTGGCACTTAGGGACATGGTTTAGTGGTGGCTTTGGCAGTATTAGGTTAATGGTTGGACTCAATGATCTTAAAGGTCCTTTCCAAGGTCTTTGCTGTTGAATGGAAGAGTGTGCTTTGTGATGCAGGATGTTGAAAAGGCCAAGGAACTTGATGTCTTCAAGCACTGCTGGCTGATCAGCCTCACCTCAATCTCTGAAAAGGTGATGGAGCAAATCTTTGTGAAAACTCCTTGTGAAACACATGAGGAAAAGGAATGTGATTGGGAGCAGTCAGCATGCGTTTATGAAGGGGAAATAGTATTTAACCAACCCAGTAGCCTTCTGTGCATAGATGACTGTCTGTCCAGCTGGAGGTTAGTCATTATTGATATATCCCAGGGGTTGATACTAGCGTCAGTTCTCTTTAACGTTTTCGTTTGGTGGTCTGGACAATAGGGTGGGGTGTTGTCTCAGCAAGTTTGCAGATGATAAAAATTGGAAGGAGTGACTGAGAGACCAGTTGTTTGTGTTGCCATTCTGGGGGTCTGAAACAGGCTGGAGAAATGAGCAAACAAGAACCTAGAAGTTTGGCAAAGGGAAATGCCCTCTGATGCACCTTTGGAGGAATAATCCCATGAACCAATACAGGCTGAGGGCTTAATGACTGGAAAACAGCTTGGCAGGAGAGGCCTGGGGGATCCTGGTGGACACCAATTTGACATGAACCACCAATGTGTGCTTGTGGAAAAGAAGGCCAACAGCCTCCTGATCTGTGGAAGAGTGTTGCCAATGAGTTGAGGGAAGTGATCCTTCCTCTTTACTCAGCCTGGTGAGGCTCCATCAAGAGTGCTGTGTCCGCTTCTGGTCTCCTCAGTACAGGAGACATGGATGTACTGAAGCAAGCCTAGTGAAGGGCTACAAAGTTCAAGATTGGAGCATCTGGCAGACAAGAAGAGCTGAGTGAGCTGGTACAGTTCAGCCTGGAGAAGAAAAGGCTCCAGGATCACTTTATGTGTATGCAAATACCCAGTGAAAAAGTGTAAAAGAGAGACAGAAACAGACCTTTCTCAGGCTTATTCAATGGGGATACAGAAAGCGCAAGGGGCACAAACTGAAATACAAGGAATTTATTTTAAACATCAGAAAACTTTTCTTGACACTGTGAAGGGTGGTCAGTCACTAGATCAGGTTTCCCAGAGCTGGTGAAGTCTTCAATAATGAAGTTATAAAAAATCCCCAACTGAACTGAGTCTGCTTTGAGCAGGTGGTTGAACTGAATGATCACAAGAGGTTTCTTGCGATGACACTTGCTGTATGAATCTGATTTTTGCATCTATTTTGGACAAAGTAATTGAGTTCAGGAGCTTTCAAAGGATATGAGTTACCCAATCTATTCTGATGTGAGAAATCCAGAAGTACACTCCTTTCTTTTCAGTACATGGCTCTGTCTTAAGATGCTATCCTGATTTCTGATGCTTGTCCCACTAGAACATGCCATGAATTCTCCAAATTGGAGCATTTCTGGTACAAGGCCACACTCAAATGCTTGCTCAGTGTGCTTACTGACCCTAATTCCTCTGGCGCATGTGTGGTCTTTCTTGCAAGTAATGTCTAGTTAAGTTTCCTTTTGAAAATATTTATATCCTTTTTTTACCAACACTGTGTTCCTACAGGGCTTGCTGGTGGTACCACACGGCAAACTCTTAAGGTCTTTCTCCTCTCCTAGCAATGATTAGTTTGCTCTTCCTTTGCAATCTGTACTTCTCTTTGCAGAAGTGTTTGTAGAAGCAAAGGGGAGTTTCCTCTTCTACCACTTAAAACCAAAATGTACACGAGGGAAAAACTTTCCATATAAAGGAAATAAGACCTTCTCCAAGGTGCTTGAGAGTTTCTCAGGTGAATGAGTTGCAGTTTGAATAAGGTTGAAGCAATATTGCTTTTCTTCTGTATACATGGACCTGATGGGATCTGCATGTGACTAGATGAGTAACTGGCTACCTCTACTGCTATGAGCATCTGAGTCAGGTACCTTCTTACCTGGTTAAGATTAAGTTTGTAATCTGCTGATATCAACACCTTAAAGAGATAATCTGTGCAGTATGGCAGTTTTGCCCCTTGAGGTTGTTGTCACCTGGAACATGGAAAAACCAGTTCATTGGGGTAGAAGTAAGGTTTGAGCATTTCCTGGAGAAGCTGTTGTTCAAAACAAGTGTACAAAGGCACAAAGCTGTAAACTAAAAGTATATAAAAATATTCTAGAAGTGTAGTGTGTGCTGTTTTAAATTGAACTTGCTCGAACCAGCACTTAAATATTTCAGGTAATTTCTAAGTGTGCCTGGCATCAGATTATTTAGATTCTAGGCAGGAGATTGAGGGGGATGAAGTGCTCCTGTACTATCTAACTTCCTATTGGCTGTGTTACGTAATTTTCTAATGCATTCTTCTTCTGATCACTTAAACGATGTGCTTATGTTTCTCCAATGACTGTATAGCGTGTCTGAAGAATGCCCAAATTTAGCTGTTGTGGATACTTAGCACTTGATTGTACTGGGGTCAACAATATTGTCCTGGTTTTGATCAAACTCACTCTTATGCCTGTTCTAATTTTGTTAGTAAGCACCCTCTCAAATATATGGCTCTGTAGATATGTTGTTGTTATTAGTGTATTATTGTGAGATTTGATTAAAAGAGGTAACACACTTCAAGGTGAGTGGGGTGTTCTTGAGATAGAGGTTGGACCATGTCCTTGTTAGTCCACAGCGTGAAAGAAGGGATGATGGTGTTTGTAGTTGTAGAAGTTCAGACTTGTGGAAATGAAAAGTTCTGTCTGAAGTGGCTGAAATGGCTGACTTAAAAGGAATGGTACCATACATTTAAGAAATCAGTAGAGAGCATTCATCCACTGTGAGTGAGCTTGTGTAATGATCTAGCAACTAGAAGTTGCATATTGACATTTTTGCTAAGTCCAGACTGCAGCAAAGCAGTCACAGATAATGTGTTCTCACAAAGTGATGCTATAAATGTTCTATGTCCAAAGTCATTCTGGAGGTTATTTTAGAGAGAATATCAAAGTCTTTGAAGGGTTTTTTTAAGATCTGAAACTTCAGCCTTGCAGCTTTTCTCTTCTGGTGATTTTTGAGTTGTTTATAAAACAGTGTTGACCTTGAAATTGGTTCGTTAGCTTTTCTTTCAAAAGAATTTTTGAGGGAAACTTGATGAAAACTTGAGTCTTCTTGGCATAGGACTTACACAGTTCAGAGGACTGTCCTTACTTGGTCTTTGAGGACCTGCGTGTGTAGGAAATTTTTTTTTTTTGGCTTCACAGACATCAGTGGACTACTGCTAACTCATGCTGCTTTCTGATGTTGTATCAGGTTTTATACCAGGACCAACTGGCAGGAACTGGGGGAGAGGGTTTGAAAGCCTGCTGGAGGAGGATGCTGAGTAGCAGAGGGGAGGCCTGAATGTCAGCAGACATTGGAGTGTCTCTGGGGAAAATACAGAAAAAGGCTTTTACCAGTTGTTTCAGCAAATAGGGTTCCCTGGAGCACAGGGGAGGATGTAGTTGTCTCTGGATGGAGGGTGGGATGTGGTGCCTGGTATCTTTTATTCAGAGTTGGCTGGCGAGGTTGCTGCCTCAGAAAAAGTAGTGCACGTCTTTCATTGTATTAATTTTGATCTTTGCTGCATTGTAAAATGTGAAGGGCATTGCACTGTTTGAGTGTATAACTTGTTCTTAACTTCCACCTTATGCTTAATGCACTGGATTTGCTGACCTCTTGCCATAATACATCTAAGTAAAGTCTAAAATAAGAATGTGTTTCTGTGACCATGGCTTGGGGAGCACAAAACTGTTTTTGGACACTTTATCAAATTCCATATTTAAAGGAAAGATGTAGTTCTGCATTTCAGGCTACAGCATCATAAAGAAGTTTAACCTATATCTGGACTTATGTTCACAACTGTTTCCCTCTCTTTTCAGAGGTGTTGTCAAGGTTGACATCAATTTGCAGAAGGTGGACATTGACCAGTGTTCGAGCGAGGGGTGGTTCTCGGGGACACACAGGTGTCATCTCAACAATTCTGAGGTATGTATGTCTCTAAGGGACTTCAATAACAAATCTTTCCACTACGAGTAGAGTTCTGTAGTATAAATGTTATTTATTTAATAGATGTTAAATGTGGTTTGTAGGCTGAAGAAATCTTTCTGTGCAAGGTGTTTTGGTGTGCGTGAGTTTCAGGAGTGCCTGCATTTTAGAATTATTTGTGTTAAATGAAACAGAAGCTAAGTTATTGTGAAGAAATAACAGTTACAGGGGAAAAGAATATTACCAATGAAATGATTTATGAGGTTCTGCTTTGCAAGTCAATTACTTTGTGCTCAAAATGAAAATAGGCTTTTAATGTCAGTGTCACTTTTGCTTGGACAGCTTTGCAAAATATAGTAGAAGTTGCTCAAATGCTAATGGTAATTTAGTCAGAAAAACATGATCTTTTGATAGAATGATACAGAATAACAGGCAGAATTGGATACTGAAATTCTTTCTTAGTAGAAATGCCAACATTTTGACAGAGCTGACTAAAATGTTTCTGTTCAACTCCTTCCTGCTTCCCCTTTTTTCGGAAGGTCTGTGTCTGACTCCATCTGTTAGCGTATCATAGATCATTCAGCCTGGCCAGTCATGTGTTCAATGAAACTTTAAAACAAAGTACATTCAATGATTTTTCTTATTATGGTTTATGGCACCCATTTGTGAGAGTAGGCACCTCTTGCGCTTCTGTGCTTTGAGAAGGGACAGTAGGGAAAGTTGACCGTTGTCTGCCAGAAGTCAGGAGATTTTTCCCTAATTTGCTGTAAAATGCCAATTTATCAAAACCAAATCTGAATTTGGGAAAACAGTTGGTCTTGGTGAATTCAACTGCTAGCGTTTTTGACCAAGAACTCAGAATTTTTGTAAACATTTTTTTTTTTTTATTTTTCACTTTGATTTTCAACTCGGTTATTTTCTTAAAATAAACTTGAAATGAGAAATAAGGAAGTCTTTGATACAGACTAATTAAAGATTAAATATTTCTGCAAATGGAGAAATATGTTTTTCTTTGTGAAGTACTTTTTGTCTTCTGAATTTAAGGGAATACTTTTTAAATGTTTCATGTTTCTTCCTAGAAGGAAATGTTGTTTCCCATGTGATCTGGTAAACCTTGTTTTTTAACATATGATAATTATCTTGAATGTGATTATGTACTTTGGCAAGTGCTCCTCCTTTTCTTGATGTCTTTTGAGCAAAATTTGTGAGCAGAGGGGTGGGATTGTAAGTTGCATCTCTTTCTGCAACCAAGAAGAAGAGGGGCAAAAACCCCAACTCTGTGAGAAGACTAAGAAAAAACAAGGCGAAAGGAAAATGGAAAAAATGATCAATGGTGGGGTCACCTGGAGCTGTTAATAACTTAGGTAAGGAGATGAATGCCACTTCATGAAAGGCTTTTCAACTTGTATGCAGTGAATAAACCTGCCAGCTCTTCTTTCTTCTCCATGACACTTATTAGACTGTTAAATCAACAAGGTTGTCATGGCTAAGGGAAGAACATATAGGTAATGGAAACCTCCCCCAAAATGGCAGGGAGGTGCCTTTTCTTACTGCAGCTGAAGAGGATGAAAGTCCTTGCTTAATAAGAGTGGGCATGGGGAGTTGCTGGGAACAATCTATAGAAAAGCTTTGTCTCCTTTTACCCTATGGTCACTGCTTTAGGAGAGTTCAGTCTGTAAAGAAAAATGTACTTTCTTTATGAACAGTTCTCTTGCAGTTTAGCCCCATTTGACAACTAAGCACAGTGCAGCCGTTCTCTCATTTCCCCTGCTGCCAAAGCCATGTGGAGGAGAATTGGGGAAAAAAGTGAAAACTTGTGGGTTGAGATAAGAACAGTTTAGTAATTAAAACAAAGTAAATCATAATAGTGCTAATGATAATAAAATATACTGCTACTAAAATGATGGGCAAAAAAAGGAAAATAAAACCCAAGCACAAGTGATGCTCTTTCCAGTTTATATACTGAGCATGATGTTCTGTGGTGTGGAATATCACTTTGGCCAGTTTGGGACAGCTGTCCTGGCTATGCTTCCTCCTGGGTTCCTGTACACCTCCTCTCTGGCAGAGCATGGGAAACTGAAAAGTCCTTGACTTAATGTAACCATTGCTTAACACGCTGATGTTTCGACTGTTGTTATCAACATTTATTCTCATAGTGAATCCAAAATACACGGTACTGTACCAGCTACTAAGAAACTATCTCAGCTGAAACCAGGGATACTTTCAGGAGCAGGTCTCCTGTGCTGCTTTTTGTACTTTGTTTCATTGGAATCTACTATGTGGGATAAAGGTAACTTACGTAATTGTGCAACAATGTTTTCCACAGTTTTCCTCATAAATGCTGATGAAATGATACTCTGTATGCTCTCTTTTATCTACTTAGAGGCAGGTACAGAAATCTGCTGATGCTGGAATGCTCTGCCCCCGTTTACAAAGTCTGTCTCCAGCTGAGTAAGGAAGAGAATGGAGATTTCTGGACTTCCAGTTCTGCTTAAGTTAGACGCTCCTTGCTCTCTTCAGTTTTGTGAAGTGACTTGAGTATTTAGTGCAGCATAAGCTTTGTGCAGACTGCTTGGTAAAGCTTTGCCATAGTGAATTTCTGCTTTGGCTCTGAAAGTCTGTTTACTGCATAGCCCATACCATGTGGCTGGGCTACCAATGCCATTAAATCTAAGGCATAAAGCTCAATATTTCAGAAATACAACTCCCCTCTCCCCTGATGCTATGAAAACGTAGCTAGTGACTTAAGGAATGAACAAGAGGAAAAAAAAAAACCAACCGATGGATTACTTAAAATGCTTCTTTACTTTGTCTTCTATTTCAAATAATTTTATAGTGGCTAGAATCTGTTAGGCACACTGCAGACAAATTCCCCTATTTTCTGTGCTGTTCTGAAGTGTTTATTTTCTAAATAAAAATCAGTTGAAAGGAGGGAGATGGAGGTGCATTGCAGTGAATGTAAGCATTTGGTAAGCCAGTGGTCTGTATGTGCTAGACAGAAAAAAAGGGAAGGAGTGGATGGGATCCAACTTCTACCAGGAAATAAAGAGGCTGTTGTTGAAAGTACTGTGCTGCCTTCACATGGTATGGCACAGAATCATTAGGACATGATGCTAACTGTGACACTGGGATTTGTCTTTGGAAAGTCATAAAGAGTAACCTGATTGTGATAAAATAGTTGTAGTGCTAGTCCTTTCTTGAAAGAAGAATAGTGTCTGGTTGAGGAACTAATGAATATTATGACTCAAATATTCAAAATGCTTAGACATACTATTCCTCCTTAAAATTCCATCTGTCCTTAGGTTTAGGTGTTCTTCCTTAGGATTGGTGGCTCTTAAATATCTTGCTTTAGGTATGGTGCCCTAAAATTGAACACCAAACAAAAGCAACCTCAGGGAACTTTGGATTTCCCATTTGTAATTTGACTACTTAAATTCCTGATACATAGTCAAATTTTTTCCTGATTTGTTCTCTTTTGTGGACAGTACACTCTGATTTCATAGCAGCCTAGATGAACTGGAAGAACAAGAGTGCACTTCTTTAATCTCAGGATAACTGGAAGCTGCTGAGTCTAATTAGGCAAGAAGTTAAGTAAGACTTAACACAGGGAAGCCAAACTGCAACACTGGTTAAAATGTGTTTCGGTTGTGACTTTTTTTCCTCTTCTTTTTTTTTTTTTTTTGATAATTGTATCAGCCCAAAAGAGGCTGATGGCCAGGTGTTATTTTTTTGACCTGGAGGAATAAAGGTCAGCTCATAGTGAAGCATGGAGAGCTACAATTCTTCTTCCTACCCTCCAACTTGATGCTCAAATAGAGAACAGCTTCCCCGAAAGCTATATGGGCAAGAAATTTGGATTCTGTAGGACTGCTAGAGATGAGGCATGTAATATCTGCAGAGTTAAAAATAATGAAATTGGGTAGACTGCAAAATAACACAGACAATTCTGCAATTAACAAATGTAGAAAAAGTGTAGTTGCCCAATAACAAATCCAGAGTAATTTCATTGCACAGGCAATGCAGTACAATGTACTGTCAAGACTGGTTATGGGAGGAAGAAAACATGCATTTTTACGCTGTTTGAAATTCTTGAAGACTGTTCTTTTATTATATTGGATTTCTTCCCCATACGTGCTGTCAGCAACTGCTGGCACTTTTAGTAACAACTTTAGAGTTCTTGTAGAGACACCAACAATAGAATCAAGGCTGAGGAGCATCTGAAGAAATCAGCTGGTGTAGCCCATTGAGCTCGGCTGACTGCTTCCAACCAGCAGCACTCTGTGAAAAGTGGCAGTGGACTCCACACTGTTCCCCTGTCCTTAATGAACCTGCCAACAGCTTGGAATGTGAGGCAGGCTCAGCTGACATCCCTTTGGGTTTTAACAGTATTCCACAAATGACAGCATGCAAAAATATCCAGAGGAAATGAGAGAGGCAGAGTAAACAAGAAAGCTGCATTGCTGTCTGTATACAGTGTCTGTATATCTGTTTGTAGAAAGATGCATAGGCCTATTGTGTGTATTTATTCTGCACAAACACAAAGCCAATTGAGAAAGGAAAACAAATGTGCATTACAGCCAAAATCTTTTTTCCATTGTTTAGCAAAACATTTGGGACCGTCATATTTTATCATACTGTACCCAGTACTACAGACAAGCAGCTGAAAAAGGGGGAGGCGGGGGCTGATTAAAAATAGAATTGTAATAGGGACTGAGTTGGAAGAGAAGAGAAAAAGAACACAAAGGCTTTCCAGGTTTTTCAAGCAAATGCCTTTCAATGCCCTTGTCAAAGTGAGAATATTAATGTGCATAGTCTGTGGGAGAGGAAGCATGGCAGGAGATTAGCATCTGAAGTCCGAACTCAGTGGGTCATATCCAGTATCACTGGTTTTGCTTATTACCTGCATGTATTTTCTGTCTTGTCTGTTAGGAAAAGTACAGTCAGAATGAGAAAACCTGAAAGAAAAGTGAATGGTTTTATGGAATATAGTTAGCTTCTAA